AGCGGCTTCTGCAGGAAATTTGGCAGGTTTGTTAAGATTATTCCAAGAATTGTGATATTTTGGTTCTTTGACAGTTTTTGAATTCCACTTTCTTTAACAAACATTAGAAGCAGTGTGTTTGAGGAATTTTTTAACCAATGTTAAATTCGGCTTCGTCAGATGGAGTCTTCGCCGTGAAATAGAACCTTATAATAGAAATTAAGGACATATGTTTGCATTACCTGCTTTGAGAAAGCTAAACAGACTATGTAAAGTACATGATGTCTTGTGTCAAAAGAAGGTTTTAATTCTGTAAAACTAATGTCATGATCATATTGCTTTTCCGTATATAAGTTAGATAAGTTAGAACTGGAGGCGCTTAATATGGCCCAGCTGAAATCGAGATACTTCGACAAAGGACCAGAGTCGATTTAAAGATTGCTCGTTACAGGCATAATGTTTAGAATTTTACGTTGAAACGTAATTACCAAAGAAAGCCATTTTTAGCAGGGTCATGAAGCGGTACAGAAAATATATAAAGTATGTATTAATCTCTGTTCAGTTTAGATGAGAATAACAGATATATATAACGGAAGGAAATCAGAAGAGTCAATTCTTCGCTAGCTCGATCTTCGACGCTTTAATTTTCATCATAGTTTTGTTATTCTCATCCAAACTGGACAGAGAATTTAACAGCAGAATAAAAAGTTAAATATTTGACCATGATAAATGTTGTTTCAAACAGATATGATGAGAAACTAAGGGAAGGTTTGTAACAGCTGGAATGTTTTTTCATACACTTATATGATGTGGCTGATTCTAGCATCTTTGTTTCGTAAAGTTTATGAGGCGTTGTTCTTCATTTGGACGTCGCCAGCTATGAATGCCTTATTCTTTCTAAAGACAGAAGCGACAGGAGCTATGCGATAAGCGTACTTTATATTCTCCTGTTTACTTTCCACTCATTTATCAGATTTGTACTCATCAACGTTGGAAGGAAGTAAGTTGAGTCGACTTGAAACGGGCTCAAGCCCCTGACCTTTCGGTTATATTATACACTTCGGTTAGACGCTATACCGACCAAGCAGTCCCGGTCTGAAGTAACGTGTGATAAAGTTGTTGCTCAATGGAATTCGCTGTAAAGAGAGAGATTGTCGACCAGAGCAGCGAACTCAGCACCGATGTTCGAGGTACAAGCCGACATATTACGCACTGTGCCACCGCGTCAGATACATATTGATAACGTTCACTACTGCTTCACTGTGTTACCTGTATGTAGTTGTTAAGCGATTGACTGTATTAGCAGCACCTCATTTTTCAATGGCGAAAGAACTGTTATATTTTTAAGATGGTTTGTTGATGATGGTTTAAGATGGTCTGTTTAATGGTTCGCAGAAATCGATGGATCGAATAAGCTCAAGAAACCTCGAAAGTGATCGCGGTAGCTGACTGGGACTGGTGGCATAGTGTCATATAGGTCGTCTTTTTATTAGGGCGACTGTAGGTGCCGGGATATATCGATAACAGTCATCTTATTTTCATATTGACTTGAACTAAGAACTGTTCAGTTTAGTGTCCGAAACTAGCGTTTGTGTCTTTTCATACAACAGCTTAAATCCTTGAATAAGTGATCGTTGCCTTAGTCTCAGCCTTGCTTAACTTGTCAATTAATTTTTTAGGAGTCGAAGGATTCTGCACTGAGGAGGACCAGGAAATACTGACAAGAATCGAAAAACAGTTAAAAAAGCGGTTTGCAATCGGCACGCAGGTAAACGCTCTGAGATGGTGTATTGTAATTTATTTTGTGTAGTTTTCTGTTCTCTTTGGAGTACTAAAAGTATTAGCACCTTATGCAG